TTTCGTAAGAAAGTAGGGTTTCTACTACCAGTCCTTCATCACCTGTATATGCCAGCTCAAATATAATCAATGAACTAGTTGGAGGTTGCATGATTTCTCATTAATTTTTGAGGTGGTCCATATTGTATTAAGCTCCCTAGCATGATTTATGGCTATCAAATATTTCTAAGTCTTTCATTGCAACTATTTAGTTCAATGATGTGTCCAAACTAGTTCTTCATAGAATGATTTTAAACGTATACTTAGCAGAAGGCAGTCTATTTTGGCATCGTCTTATTTTAGCCACATCTAACAACAATTTTGAATAATTTTTCCGAATCCTTATTCCTTGGCTCAGCAAATGTTCTTAAGTAAAATGTTCAAGCTCACAGAGGAGCTGTTTTTCTTTCAGCCTCAATATCTATTTTGCATTTTCACGTTTATCAAGACTTAGCGTATACGTTTTTGTGCCTTTACATACGCAACTTTGTTCTTATGGCATTTGCCACATCTTGAAACATTATTCCTTATATTTTCATTATAATGAGAAACGAAATTATCAGCAATTTAAACATTTGTGGTTGATCTAAATTCTTTTTCATACATTTTTTGGTGTAGATGTATGGCATTAATATGTCAATCGATAAATACTTCTAAAAGGCCTAACTCAAGCACTGAAATTTTAAGTTTTCAACCAAAACTATACGGCCAAATAAGTTGATAATATATCAGGCATAGATCCTTGCAAAGGGAGAACATTAACTAATTATAGAGTCACGAATGTCATTAAAAAATCATGCATACTAATCATGAGTACGGCACTCCACACTCCTGTCTACATTTCCGAAGGATCATGCTCTTAGGCAAAAGTACTCGGATTCTTTCTTTCTAGATAATAAGATAGGATTTATCTGAGTGATTTTATAAATAAAAGCTAGCATACTAGCTGGATTATAAGTCAAGGCACAAGCCACAAACGTGACTTAACTTTTCGATCATCTCTTTCATTATTTATAGGTGATAGAAAGGCAATCTACATGGGATTTTTAACTAAAATCAAAGGAAACTTTATGAGACTTACTGTAGATTTATTAGTACACACGTCAAATAATTTCTACAATTTGCTAGAGATGATGAATCTTTACATCACTTATTCAATCCTTATCATTTTCTAGAATAATAATCTTTAATTTGCTGATTACATAATGAAATAACATGCATTATATTAATTATTTTAATAATAATATTTTGCTTTGGTTTGTAATTTTGATATTTACTGAAGATGTTTTTCTGTGAAACTGCTTCACCGCATCATTTCGATGCTAAAAACCGCAAATGACCCTTAGGAGGGTTGTATCAGTTCGTAATTTGGCACTTAAAAAATGCCCGTCCTTTATTCCATCTTTATCTATTATAGAAGAGGATAACATTAGCTACGACCCTTTTTTGCTCTTTGACCACCTGGGTCCCATCACATTTCTGCCATATGAGGCATTTGGAGCCCATGATCACCCTCACAAAGGGATGTACATCATCTCGTATCTCATCGAGGGTTGCATCATTCATGGAACGAGTATTTCTAAGTCAAAGTCATTTTTGAATGGTGGTGATGTCCATATTATTTCTTCTGGCCGTGGTATAATTCACTATGAATTGCCGTCTCAAGAAATGGTGGTGAATGGGGGTACGTTAGAAGCCTTTCAGATATGGATAAACTCGAAAATGGAAGTAAATGTAATTTTATAAATAATGATTAGAGTAAAGCTGATAAACCATACATGCAGGATATTTCCAGTGCTGATATTCCTATCATTCGAAGTGAAGATAATTTTTCAGAAATTCGTATAATTGGTGGGGAGCTACTTGGTATGCATAAAATTATAAATTTGTCTCACACTTATTTTTAGGAGCTTCTTCCACACTAAGTGTCGATCCACCTATCTGCCTTTGTGACATTACTCTTAAAAGTTCAAGTTATTTAAGTGATCAAGAACTACGAATTTCATTGCCTTCTTCTGAGTTCCAGACAGCCATGATTTATGCTTGGAAATGTCCTGCTTCTGGTGGAATACGCGTTGTTGCTGATCAAGGGGAACAGACTATATGCGTGGAGCGGGGATGTGTCGCTTCACTTGACTCTGTGGGTGACGAGTTGCTCCTACAACTTTATAAAGCAGACAGTGAGATTTTTTTCATTTTTCGCTCTTTAGACTAGGATATATTCTAACTTATTCTTGTAGTAATTTGCATTCAATCACCTAAAATGTTCACATTCCATAGTTTGCAATAATGTTTTTATTTTGAGTAACTATTCATTCTAGTGATATACTAATGGTATAGTATTAGCAAATTTATAATTCTTCATTTCCATATCTCCCAGATGCATATATACCGGCAACTTTTTGAAGATAATCCTATATCTTACTCCCCTCATTGTAATTGTCCCTTAGGATCATTTTTCTAGTGATGTCTCTTCCTGTTGTTCAATTAATGCCAAAGGTC